TACAATTTATGTGACTATCAGAAATCTTAAATTGAACAAATAAATGTGTTATCTATCATCCTTGCTATTTGGGGAAAAAATGTGTTTAATCTATCCATAATGTTGGGGAAAGTTCTATTTTATGTTGGTCAAGGCTTTTGTTTTGAAATGAAAAAGAAAAACAAACATAAAAAAACAAAACAAAACCCAAAAACATAGTTTATAACGCTCCAAGGCGCTACCTCTATCGAATAATTGAATCAAAAAGTAATAACTGAAAACAATTTCTCTAGTAATGACTAATTTATTGAATAACAAGTTAGAAGTTTTTCGATAATTAAATTATTAGGGATATTCTCAATCCTTCATAAGAACTATGGCACACATGTAAACTACATAACTCTTCGCCAAATCTACTTTTATTAAGTAAATGAAAAAGCAAATTCAAAACATCAATAAATTTATTTTCTATAGATACAGAAAATACCTTCTTTTAAAATTTAAAGTTTTCTTTAGGCATGTTTATTAATTCTTAACAATTCTCTTATGACTATGTCAACAAATTTTAGTATTTTAATGTAGAAAATGACTGTCACTTGATATTTGTTCTTCATAAAATTAAAGTACCTTTTCCAACTTAACTTCAACTTCCTTCTTAGCAAGGAAGTTTCTGTTCTGTAATACTCACATAATGCTGAAATACCTTAAGGTTTAGCTACCTCTATAAATATCCTATATTCATTCTAGCACCCCTCTTTCCCAGAATAAAATGTATCAGCAGTTATAGAAAACTCTAGTATATATTTGTATGCACTGACTATTAAACAGCAGCAGGGGGAGCAGACAATGAAACACTAAGAGAAAGCACCCCAGAAAGCAATGTAATTTATGGCAACAGAAGCACGATAATTTCTTGAAAAACAAATAGACAAAATAAATTCCATAAAGAAGCAATAACCACGTTTGCAATGTTGGCCTATATACATCTGGAATGCACTAAAGAACAGCCTTCAGTCTCTTAGAAGGATGCTTGAATCCTAACTTCAAGACGTGCTTTCAGCTTGAAGCACAGTAGTTTCCAACAATGACAGGACAAGAAACTGCCCCAAAATTAGACAGAGGAAAAAAAACCCATGTTTTTAGAGTGGCATATTTTGAGGAGAAATCAAAGTGATTTTGTTTCCTCCTTCAAACATTCCTGCACTTACACTGGTGAAGTGGGCGTTGTTAGGTCACAAGTGAATGAAGTTATAGGGTTCAAGTTATAGCATAATCCTTGAAACTCTGAGGCTTCGGCTCCTGGCCTGTCCTCCTTGAATACTCAACTGACTTTCTATAAGAGAAGGTGACCAAAAACACTGTGAAACTACTTTGCATACAAACATCTGGCAGGATATTCTAGCTTTGCAAAATCTGTACAAAAGGATGGAAATGTGCCCACCGATCCCAGATAGTTTTATATGTTCTAAAAATTAATAGGAACTGTTTTTTCAGTTATACAGTAAAACAAAGTGTTATTTGGCTTGTCTGTTTGGAATTCTGTAACTGGCACGTAAGAAAAGACTAAACTTCTAATAAGAACTTCAAAATGTTTATGTCTATATTAAACCAAAAAAGTGTCGATATAATTTAAGCATTTTTATAATACAGAAATGTACATTAAGGACAGTTATTTAATAATTATATTATGAGAATCCATAAACTTAAAATGTCAAGCATAAATTACAATTGAACGTTAAAAAAATATGTTAGCCAAGTAAGCAACCAATTAAGTTTGACCTAAAACTCAAATAATAATGCCAACAACAACAGGTATAGTGCCTACTATTATCAGGCACTATTTCTTACCTAGCTATTTTATTCTCTCAACCTTCTGCATTAGCCTTTCAAAATAGATATGGTGTCCATCTTATGCGAAGGAAATTGAAGCTAAAAAAGTTAGTCAGTTCTCTGATGTAACTCAGTCAGCAAGGAACAACATTATGATTCAATTTCTAGGTCTGTCTACCTCCAAAGCTTTGAGACATCACCAAAATCTCCCTCAACTGTAGCAATGAGGTTCCAAAGGAAATCTGTACAAATCTCAAGCGGATTAATGTGTTTATGAGGGCAAATGCTATAGGTTTAACCACTCAAATTAAATGCCATCTGGAGCCTCTTACCCTACTTGGTACAAGCATCCTACATGTATTACGCCAACTCTGGCCTTGGACAAGAACTCAATAATTTTCCCATCTCAATACCATCAATAAGCATTATGCACATTACAACTCCCATCAGGAAATATAGCTAGTTACTTCTAAAACATCATTTAAAAACTGCTAATAATTTAGATTCTTTACATTAGGATTTTTAAAAACATATGAAGAATCTGTTAACCCAGTTAGCTAAACGGGTTTGAAGAATCAATTTCCTTCTTCCTGACACCCAAATCCCTCTTCATAATAATCACCATAGAGATATAGTGATTATTTGCATAGCTCTCTATATAATCACTTACAAATCCTAGTCCTTACTAGTATTTTTATTATTTAAATCTATTAGAGTAACTTTTTTTTAAAAAAAAAAAAACACACAAAAAACCTCAAGAGAGAACAGAGAAAGATGTCATGACTTTTCAAAGCAAAAATAACCTGAACACATTGGTTGGTGCAACATGTAAAAAAAAAAAAAAGATGGTAAGAAATAACCCGAAGCTATGTTTCAGACTTACTCATTCATACTCAAGGGATATCAGACAACCTAGTGGACGTGTGATACAAGCTGTCACTATTCCATTTCTGACTTAGGCTCACTCACGGGGACCTTCAGATCAGCTGCTTGCCCTTGCTATCAAACAGAAGGGTCACTTTACAACCTTTACTAAGAGCCCCCCCCTTTTATGCTAATCCTTTTTCATCTATAAAAAGTTACATGAGCTTAGCACTCATTTAGAAATGAATGGGTTAAAAAATGAATGGCTGAGACATTAAAAGTTTAAGCCACAGCTACATCTGAGTTGGAAAAAAATGTAATGTTAAAAATAAGTGTCCCGTCAGTAATCATTCCACCATAAGACGTAGACTGCTAGAATGACGATATTTTGAAGAAGTATTTTCTCAACCTAGATTGCACTTCAACCAAATAAACCTGTATATTAACACAGTCATCGTCTAATTTAGGGCCCTTCACAATGAAGATTAAAAAATAAAAACCCCTGTCTTATGTGGTGCCTTTAAAAGAAAGGAATCATTTTGAGTAATTATTGTGGCAAAGTTTTATTTTTCAGATCTTAAAATGTGGATAAGGTAATTACTTGACAGTTGTCATATATAGTGGATTATTAGAGTTCATGTTAATTTTTAAATCAGAAGACAGGTTTCATGAAAAGAGTATGGATTTTTGGGGAAGGTAATTGTAGCTGCGTGGGTTCATTTTGCTGAAAAATAACAGTCAAATCATCTTGAAAACATAAGCAATTGCCTTCAGGTGCCTTCAGGCTCTGCTCTTTCTTTTACTACACAGAATTAACCAGAGAAGAGAATTCAGAACGCAGGCCCACTGCAGAATGGTCCCAGTCAGCAGCTAGGACAATGGAGATACCCAGCTTATGTCCACTGCTATTATGAATCAAATTATGAACAGGCAATTTATGTTTTAGAAATTTAATAAATAAACTAGGAATTCGTAAGCCAGATGAGAACAATGGCACTTAATGCCACAGCGGGGAGTAGGAGAGCAATAACCAATCATTTTAATGAAGAGTCATACCAAATTTAGAAATGAGGCCCAAATGACCAAAAAAAAAAAAAAAATTACATTTGATCAGCATGCTTATGGGTAAGTCAGCATGCTTACGGGTAGGTTAGTGCCTGCAGCCAGCGACTGGAGAGTCCCTTTTATTTTATTTGCAGGTAATGTTTCATTTAAAAACAATGCTGTCTATGTAAGCATTATCGACAGATAAGACAAGTGGCTGATACGCTATGGTATTTTTAAAAACCGCGTGAGAAAAAAACAGGTGGGATAAAAACTACAGCAGGCTAAAAACAAAATAAAAAGCATCACTCTCTGAAAAATATGTGCACATAAACAGTAAAAACGGTATACACTTCCTGACCTTGTAAATAGGTGGCTCAAAATTAAGTATCTTTAAGAGAGTGTTACTAATCTTTGTGTTACTAATTGTCACACAAAGTTATCGAGTTCTTACTGGTTGAATCTCCTGGCCATTTGCATCCAACATCCTCCTTTCCTATCCCCTCAGCCAATACTCATAAAAACATACATAATCAATTATTTCCTTATACAACTAAAGACAAAAAAAACCCCACAGGAATTCTGAGAAAAACAGCAAAACAGACAACACTCTACCTTGCTTTACCGCTGAGCCAGACTGAAGGTTACTTCTCATCCCCCCAAACTCCACTAACCACCAAGACCGGCACGTTAGCAGATATGGCAAAAACACCCCATTGACTTTCCAAGACTCAAGGGAAGGAACAAGGTAAAGATCATAATGGTATTTTCTATCTTCGCTGACGTTTCTTCTGGACAGGTATGGCCAAGTGAACATACAAAGGGTCAGTTTTTACAGGGTACCCTGACCCCTAGATAAATGAGGGCTAAGGTTCCAAGTTCAGTTTGAGTGATGACATCAAGAGATTGCACTGACCTCCAGCCACTCTTATTTCCAACTGGGAATCCCAAGAATACCCTTAAACATGCAATGCCCATGGACTCGACTGGGTTTCTGCAGCAAGGGCAAAGTGTCACGAGTCTTCCCATCTGCCACCCCCCAAAAAAACCACTGTGTCCCGGAGGTACTGCCATCAACTATGTCAAAGCTACTTTTGCAAAATGTTTCCTTTATCTGGAGTGGGTGGAAGAGAGAGGGAAGGCACAGAATCAGGGACCTCCCTCGGAGGGAGCAGAACTGCCAACAATCTGCATACATTTCCCGGGGCCACGGGAACCGGTGGCTTCACCGGCGTGGGAACCAGCCGCCTCCGGACCTCCGTGGGAGCGGAGCAGGGCCTTACCTTGTTGGAGGCCATCTCACTGACGGAGTGCCTGGTCTGCAGGGTCTCTAGCTGGTCCAGACACCAGTCCAGCTCCTCCAGGGTCTCGCTGGCCAGTTTCTGGTAGGCCTCCTCTGCGAAGAGATAGGGAAAGGGGGGCTCAGTTCTCAAGCGCTTCACGGGGCTGCCAGCGAGTTCAAAGGGGGCCATCCTGCCGTACCCCGCCATGCTCGGATGCCCGGTGCCCGCACATGGGGGCTGCTCCTTCATATTGCCGAGCCGGGCGCTCTGCTAGCGGGGCAGCCGGCCTCGGGACGGCACGGGCTCTCCAGCTTGGCGTCTCCGTTCGGCGTCCGGGGAGGGCGCGCGGAGTGCGGCGAGCCAACTTTTACGCGGAGGAGACACGGGCCAGGAGACCACGATGCGACTTGGAGACGGCGCGGCGGGTCGGAGTCCCAGTCCTTGAGGATGACGGAGGGGGTGGCGCGTGCGCCTCGGAGCCCGCCCCGCGGGGGAGCGGCTGGTCCAGCGCCCGATCGCCCCGGCGGCCAGCCCGCGCCGCGGCTCCGCGCCCGCCCCGCCGGCCGTGCCTCACTCGGGGCGAATGAATCAGCCGCGGCCACGGGTGCGCGGCCACCACGTTTCCTGTTTTCTTTCTCAACTCCGCGGGCGGCGGGCGCAGCGCTCCATCGCCGCGGCTTTCCGGGAACACTCCCCCTCACGCCCCTCTCGGCCCCCCGCGGGCCCGGCCCCTCCTCAACTCCCTGCGAAACGGGCGCCGGCAGCCACAGCCCGGCCCGGCCCGCGGCATCCCCCCGCGCAGCCGGCGCGGCGGGCTTTGAAGCGCAGGCGGAGGGGAGCGGGCGCGGGCGCGGTGCCTGCGGGGCTGCGGTGGGTCTGCGCGAGGGGAGGGGCGGAAAACCCGGCGTGGAGCGGCCGCGGGGCTCCGGGGGGACCTGGCGCGCACGCGCGGCCGCGCACCTGCCCCGCGCGGACCCCGAGCTCCCGCGGAGCCCCCGCCCCCGCCGGGTCTCCCCGAAAGCCAGAGCCTCATCGCCTCGGCCACTGGCAGCTGGCTACCTGGGAGAGTTCGCGGGAGACCCGCCCGGCTGCACCCGCAAGGTTACTTAGGACCCGCGCCACCGTTTCTGAGCGTTTGGGTTTTAGGGTGTTTGAACCTTCGTTTCTGAGGGTTTAGGATTTGCCTACTTCAATGAGGACAGGGTGGTTGTGGGAATAAAAGCATTTCTAGCAAGACCTGACTTTGTCAGTACCCAGTCCCGGCTAAGCCCCCGACTAAATGTTGGGGACGGACATAAACAAGCAAACAAAAACATGCAAAGCTGTGGGTCGGGACGCTCAGACTTGACAATATGCTGTAATTTCATATTCAGAATTGCCCAAGAGTTATCTTAAAGCAGCAGCTGTGTGAATGCACCACATAGTACAGGCAATTGACACATGTCCTGCATACATGCTCCAGTCGCCTGTGGAATTGCATATCAGAGACCAGGATGGTCTTGGGATGCCAAGGGGAAAAGGCTGGCAGGGTATTTCTATTCACCATGCACAGAATAAACTACAAAGGTGAGAAAAATGAAAACATTATATATGAAAGCCGGTTCTGTTTACAAAAGCTGACCTGGGGACCATGGGCACTCTCCATAAACACATCAATTACGGAGAACTTCGCTACATTAGCCTGCGGATAAGCAAACCTCTCGCGGGAAAAATAATCCAAACTCCCAAAAGTCCACCTTATAAAACTTTGTTATTTTCAGTTAGAAAGAACACATTGAAAAGCTTACAGTGAAGTTGGTGAGATGGCTTTTCTTTGTCTTGGAATCTACAAGGTAATATAGGGGAAGAAATTCTGCCTTTGAAATGTAGGCTCTGTAAATGATCAGCAGCACAGTAAAGAATTTCACGGACTGAATCTCAAGCTCCTGGCATTTTCCAGGTAAGTTTTTATATATCATTTGTAAAAGTTAGAATAACTTTCAAGTATTTGTTACATGTACTGCGTGGTTCATTGTTATCAAGGATTCTTGAACTATTGCTATTCACTTTGAGAACTCTAGGTTAAAATTTGCCTCTTTTATTCTACTGTGTTTTTTGCCCCTCCTATACCAATCTCTGTAAATGTAGACTCGAGGTGAACAAACAACTGCCTAAACCTTGCCAGGTGAGTTATAAAGTGTAAGACTGGAACTTTTATCTCTAACAAAAGGAACAACCTTAAAGATAATTTAAAATAGTAAGTATAAAATATTTTATCTGTATAGCCTTGCCCTGATTGATTATAAGAATATAAAAAACATACCATGCTTGTTATAAAAATTGAAACATTACACAAAGACATGATGTAGAAAGTCCCTTGTAATCCCATACCCTTAAGGTCATAAATTATAATTAAGCCTATGACCATAACTTATTTTCATTGTACTTAACACCTTACATATGCAAGCACAGCAGTACCTAGTTGTGATGGTAGTATATCTACTATACGTTCCCACTGATTTGAGAGAGGAAAGGGGGGAGGGGAAGGAAGAAAGGGAAAGAGAATGAAAGAGAGAGGGACTTCAATGTGAGAGAGATACATCAATTGGTTGCCTCCCATAGGAGCCCGAATGGGATTGAACCCACAACCTAGGCCTCTGTCCTGACTGGAGTCCAAACCTGAAACCTTTTAGTGTATGGGACAATGCTCCAACCACCTGAGCTAGCCAGCCAGGGCTATATGGTTTTGGTTTTGCTTTTTTCATCTCTCTACTGTATAAAATAGGGATTTAGGATATTTTAAGAAGAAATTGACTTATTTTGGGTAATCTGCCCATTGTTAGCATGTCCAGTGGGTTAAAGATGCAAAATCATTGTGTCAAGAATTTTTCACTGCCATCTTTCCAGTCATTGGTTACATCAGAAGCCAGGAATCCCCTCTCCATACCGCTAAGACTTGGCTTTCCATGTTCCTCTTCCCTGCACTCCAATTCTTCCAAAAGTCTGAGCTCCTATGTAAGTAATCCCCTCCCATTTTCAACTTCTCAAAGCTTTTCAGAAATACAGGCCTTGGGCCTAACAGGATGTGGCACCAGATATTATATTTCACTATTTTTTAATCATAATAGAAATGTAATTCTTGAAAGCCAATGCTTCAAAACATGCACTTCAACACAGGATTGCTCTTAAGAAGGAAGTACAGGGACAATGGGAACAACTTATTTCAGAAGATCTACTTTATGTCCAAATCCTAGACAATCAACATTTGGGTACAATCATAATGTGGTAATAGATGTATTTTAAGTTCTACCATCTTCTGCATGTACCTTATAAATCTGGAGAATGGAAAAAAAAATGAACAGAGCCCATCTATTTACCAATAAGTAAGAAAATAATTACTAATCACAGCAAAGAACAGTTTGTTCTATAAAACTGTTACTCAAATAAAGAATTATGGTTGATATTAGCATAGAACTAATACTACTTTTTCCAAATTCCTAGGTTTATAGGCAATATGGTTAACCACAGTTTTTCAGGATCATTATTAAGTCTTAACTTTTAGGAATTTTAACCCCAAATGTTCTAAGAAATTGAGTAACTGACCTTTTCATCCCTACTGAAAAGCCTTAAGGTGAAGTTGCCAACTATCTTACAGGAACTTGAATCACCACACTACACAAACACACCTAAGTGTCATCAATAGCAGCACACAAACAGTGAGCTTGATTAATTTTGGATTTTACCAAAAGCACAAACTGTATTCCTTAATAAAATACTTTTCTCCCCAGAGAGTAGTATTCACTGTGGTACTCCTTGAAAATGTATGAAAATTCTTCTATTTAACTGTCCCAAATCTTGCTAAATCAAGGAACTAACTATAGGGAGAAAAATTCCCAATCAACAACTGTTGGCGAAATTTCTTAAAAGCCAGGAGAGTGCAATGGAGCAGCAACTGAGAAATAACTCGAGCCTTTGGAAGTGTCCTCCTACATGGTTTTCTTCAAGGCACCCTTGAACTATGGAACACCCGTGATTCTACTCGGGATCTTCTGTGAACAAACAGTTCTGAATTCTTTCAGGCTAGCACTTGGCTTCCGTCATTGTGATGCGATCAAGGGTTCCCCTGACACATGGCCTGAACCGGTGCCAGGGGCTCCGGGAGGAGATGCTGAAGCAGCAGCTTCCCTATGCAAAGGAAAAAAGGAATTGCCTCAGAGCCACAGCAGTTAGCGAGGGGTTGAGGTCGTTTTCTTGTGAAATGTTTAGCAATTTACTCTTACCCACAACTTAAGCAATGTTGACCATTGAGGTAAAAAGATCCACTCTACGTGATGTGTTACTATGTGGATGTTGGCTTTACCAACACTGGAATGACTAAAGGTCTGTATAAGTTTGTCATAATTCCTAGATAAGCCTATTGTTGTAAATGAAGAGAACAGCCTGCCCCCCCCCCCCCCGCTCAAATCACTTACTACGAACACCATTTGCTTACACTTAATTAAAAAATAAGCTATAATAGCTGATTTAGATTTTTCTTAAAATAAAAAAATATATCTTCCTAACCAATTCCAACTTCTCCTCCCCTAATTCCCACCAAAATTTTCTCTTTGTTCCTAAGGATGGAGTTGATGGTATCTGAAGTAGGCAAAACTGGAGAAAAATGATTTCTATTTCATGCATTGCTTTGAGCTAGTCCCTCCCTGAGTTCGCTATAGTGAAAGATTTGTGCAGGTTAGTTCTAACTTTTGCTGACGTTTCCCCCCTCCTCTATGCCTTTTATCTGATGGGAAATACATGAAGGAGTTGGATTCATTTTCAATGTGTACATGTAACAGGTTTAAGCAGAGCTTGCCAGTGGCAGGCTGCTCTCAGGTCCAAGTATATTTCTGGCATCAAAGTTCTTGTTTTGAAGCATTTTAAAATCTTATGAAATATATAATATTTCACTTATTACTTCAAAAATCCTCCAAAGGGAAGATGTGCATAATTTTCTGAGTTTTTTCCTTCTAGCTTCTCACTATCTTATGATTTTTTTTCCCTAGTGCTTTGCCTAAGGCTCTAATAGAACTTTAAAATGAAATAAATGCAAGATTGGGTTTCAGTGACTTCTAGTACTAACAGTAAGTCAACTTCTAGCAGCATCAGTAATGTATTTAGAATGAACTTGGTGTCATGTACTTAACAGAGTCTGTAAAAACAAGATGATTAAAAGAGTGTATCTTACCCAAGGAAACCCTGGGGTCTAGAATGGAGCAAATAGAAAGCATTCAAAAGAAGAAAACGCATGGGCTATGGGAGAATTAAAAAAACAGCTATTTAAATCAGACTGGGACAGAGGTAGAATGGGAGAAGGCTGAGTCCAAAAGAATGAAATAGGAGATAAGAGGGTAAGAAGGATTTTTTAGAGAAAAAAAATATGTGCAAACATGCGGGTCTATATTCAGTAAGGTATGTGTGCATGTGTATTCGGAGAAGGGAACTGTCATGAGCAGGGCCTTGCTCAGGGAGAAAGAGGCTAGAGAAAGCCACAGACACTGGCCATGGAAGTGTTGTCAGGCATCTGCCGGTAAGGCCTTTGGCCTGAACCTCAAGAGTGGGAACTGCTGAGTGATTCAGAGTACTGTGTGATATGGGCTCTGATCTTAATTAGATGGGAAATTCTAGGGCTCTGGAATAAATAGGATTGAAGTAGGCAAGGCTGAAGTCAGTGAGACCATTATCTTCAGCCATATTATTGGTAGAGTAAAATTAATAATTTATAGAACATTTGCTTCTCTGATGATTCTTCTTATCTAAGACAATCTCAGAATTAAAAGTATACATAGGCATGTGTTCACAAGATATGTCAGGCATGAATAGAAAAGGACTTCCCAATGTGACTTGTAAGGGGATAGACTTCTTGCTCTTAAAAACTATAGTCTTCTAGTCACTGAAATTTTAATCATACTGTATTCACCATAACTTTTCATCAGAATTTCTTTCAGGGAGAGCCTGCCTGCAAGGAAGTGTTTGATAAGGATACTTATATAGAAGATGTGACTTTAAGGAGCCTTGGTTTGGATGGAACTAATCTGTGATCTCTTCTACATAGGACTATGCCGATTGTTTCAGAAGTGTGTGTGTGTGTGTGTGTGTGTAAGGAGTCAACTTGGCGGACAGGGTGATTCCACCCTATAAATCACTCTCTCCTTCAAATATTTAATAAAGTTACCGATGGCATAAAATCCTGAAATAAAGAGATTTTCTTTGCTTTGTTTTAACCCAGTGAAGGGACTGAGCTTGGAGGCCGAATTGGCCCAAACTGAAACGTCAACCTGAGTTGACACTGAAGAGACGACCCAAAGAAAGAGGAGAAAACTTGTGGAAGTCAGTGTTAAGAGGAGGGAGGGCTTTTGTCCAAGGAGTTGGGATTTGAGCCAAGGTTAATCCGACAATCTGGGTTGCAGACTCCATATGACCTGTGTTAGACTATAAGCAGTATTATCCCTTGACTGACACTGGAAGAGAAGAGGGAAATTCCAATCTCTTCTACTACATACAAGCCATAATTCCTGGCACATCACTTAATCTTTCTTAAGCCTTAATTTCCTCACCTGTGAATTGGGGGTAATAAAATGTACCTTATAGATTATTTTAGTTTAAGTGAGAGACCCTGAATGAAATAACCTTGCATTGCTCACCCAATTGATTCTTTTCCAGGCACTGCATTAAATGATGAAGATTTAGCATTGAACAAGGTAGCTGAAAGCTCTGCCTAATTCTCAAAGACTTTCCACTCTACTGGTTATGATGATCTTCTTTTATTGAACACCTGCTATGTGCTAGATGTTGAGTGCCCAAAGGTAAGGAAATGACTTTGGGTCTCCAGAAGCTCATAGCCTAATGAGAAAGCATGTATGTAAGTTGCCCACTAAAACCAGGTAGTAGGTATAGGTAAGCACAGGGCAGAGAAAGGGGACA